CCCCAAAACCCCAAAACCCCAAAACCCCAAAACCCCGAAGATTCGTATAATATTGAAAATAAATGGACAATTTTAGTACCAAAGACCTTTATTACCTGACCCCAGCTCAAGATCAGTCCTCAGAAGATGTCTTAGGCTGAAAGTTTGAGGGGATCTCTGAAACTGAAAGTCTTGATGAGTCTGTAAAATCACTTCAAAGAAATGCTAAGATGTCATTTTCGAAAATTCCAGGTATTTTTATGTCAAATTTGTTCCTTTACAATCTTCAAACGATAATATTTTGGTTTAGAGGATGATTTCTGGCAATAAAAATACCATACTCGCACAATGCGATGAAAAAGTCGATAGAACATGAGAAGCTTAGTCCTAAATTAATGATGAAATTTACAAAGATGTCTCTAACTCTCCAAAAGGAGCAACGAAGAAGGTTTGAACTCGAAGCGAAGGTATCTGTATGTTGTTATCTCTAGCTCTACAGGATCACTCAAGCATGGGAGGAGGAGAAAAAGAACATTATAATATCTACTAGACAAGAGTTACAGGACTCTTTTGATGAACGTGTTAAGAAGATCCAGAAACTATTCCTTGAAGAGACCCAGAGTAATTTCATTCCTTATCGTTCCATAATAGGTATTTATGAAAACTACCAAAAATTCATGACCGAATATAAAGACCATAAATTTGTGATAAAGAAGTTTGGTAGAATAGTTACAGACCAAGAGCTTAAAATAGATTCATTGAGAAGGGAAATTTACAACACAATTAAATAACGAACCTGGTCTCAAGTTCCTGATCAAAAATCCTATTATGAAGAAAGAACGGTTAAGCAAGGAGGATATCATTAATCTTCTAAAAGGAGCCAGCAAGTATCTTCTCAAGTAACTCGTTTGGATAAATATAGACGTGAACAAATGGTGCTCAAAAGGCTTTCTAGACCAGTCCAGAGCCTTGAGGAGCAAGACAAGAGGGAATCTGACTCCCTCGAGCTTATGAAATATGAATTCGACAGTATTAAATAAGCTCAATGCACTATTAATCGATGAAAACACTGAGCTTAAGCAGTATAAAATTAAATTTGAACTCAAATGTCAAGAAATCGAGCAAAGAATGAAGGCCAAGTATTCCTTAAACAAAGAAAGTGCTGATGAGATCAAGGAAAATTATGAGAAAAAATTACAAGAACTTGTTGAAGAAATCAGGAAAATTAGAGCCTATTTCAAGTCGGAAGTGATCATCAAGGATATGCTGATCAAACGGCATAAAAAGTACACCCATGTTTTGAAATAAGGAGCTTGTGCTAGCGAAGAATATTATGAAGAATCCCAGAATGGTTAAGAAGATGGAGACTACATTCAATTTTGACAGCATGGATATTTATCAATATGATAACAACAATATAAGTGTCTGCAGTGACGATAAAATGTTTCATAAGCAAAGCTTTAATGCTAACTGGTCTATCATGAAGGAGCTCCAGAAAAGCAAGAATTTTCCAAAACGGTTCTTTTCACCTCAATCGAGAGAGAAAAATAGCAATAAGCTGAACTTCCAGAAAACCAATAGGTTGACTAATATGGGATCAGGGAATATCACTCTGGATAATCAGGCCTCGTTCTTTTCAGAAGAAGTTGCTGACCAGACTGATTTCCTGAAACCTTTTGATAAATCAGCAATCCCTCAATTTAAGATTCGAGTTAAACGAAATAGGAGATAATTTGAAAGATAAAATTTCAACCTTTAAAACATTATTGGGGTTTTGGGGTTTTGGGGTTTTGGGGTTTTGGGG